ACTATTGCACGTTAATATGTTCGATGGGATCCAACCAAGGTAAAGATAATCACCATATCAAGTTTGCGACGGATGGAATCACCTTCAGAGAGGCGTTGTTGATGCTGTATTCCGCCACTTAGCACGACAATAAGCACCAATGAAGTGAGCCGACTGACCATGTCACTGCAATGCTGGAGACGGACATTTTGAGCTGCTAAAACAACAAACTAGGGAGAAATAAGCGGCAGATAAGGCATGTTTCAAGGCAGCGCGTACACGATCTTTGGCTGGTTGTGCACATTCATAAGCGACAAGAGAAGAGACAATATCAACGGCACAAACCCAGTACAACAATGCCATTTCTTTCCAACTCGTCTTCGTGGGATGCGTTGTTGAGGGAGTAGGAACCGGAGGGCAATGTTGCCAATGCCATAGAGATGTTGAATCAAACAGCGGGGAAAAGAGACGTTGGGAAGTAACAGTGGAAAGGCGACAGAAAGGACCCCGCCACTCCTCGAATTTGACAAAGAGCGACCGTGGGAAGATTTAGGCTGCACGTGCGCTTAGCTAGAACGGTTGTTGAGAAATTGGGGTGTAGCCTATTTTGTGTCAAGGACAAGATCTTCGATGAATGGAAAGTGCGCCATACGGGGGTATCAATTCTTAAGTCTCGAAGGAACTCCTTGCGCAATTTCACGCCGGAGTCGCCTGGGTGATAAAGAATCCCCGAGGGCAGCTTCAGGCAGATGGATCAAAAGACGTGAATGCCTGTTGAGCCTTGGGTCAGATATATTCCCTAGGATGAAGACAATACTCACCAAGGCGATGCGAGATTTCTCGTGCAGCAATTTGTCTACCGTGTTCGATGAATTCAACATGTGCAAACACAGGGGTGCTGAGTTATAGTTTCTGAGAAAACACTCTGCGCGATTTCACGCTAGAGTTGGCTGCAAACGAAGAGGTGGGTGCAAAGCCAGTTTATTGTGCATGTCAGACCGGGCGGAAAGGAGGTCGATGAAGACAATCAAAGGATAGGCAGACAACGCGCACAATGCACCTGCTGACACCCGGAGTAAAGGATAGACGTGCCCAGAAAAGTGTCAAGATCATCAAATGTTGAACCCAATCGTCATACGAAGCCTTTGCCACACAACGCCAAACATGAATGGGTCCACGGAGTGGCGAGCTGCTTCCTAGTTGTTGGTGGGCCCTCGTCTGCCAAAACTCGATAAACAGCCTCAGGCAGCTAGAGTTGGCTGCAAACGAAGTGAGGAGAGGTGGGTGCAAAGCGAATTTATTGTGCATGTCGGACCGGGGAGAAAGAAGGTCGATGAAGACGATCACAGAATATGCAGACAGCGCACAAGGCACCTGCTGACACCCGGACTAAAGGATAGACGTGCCCGGAAAGCGTCAAGATCTTCAAATGTTGTATCGAAAGCTAGCCATTCGTCATTCGAGGCCTTTGCCACAGAACGCCAAACATGAATGGCGGTAACGAGCTGCTTCCTAGTTGTTGGTGGGCCTTCGTCTGCCAAAACCTTGATGAAGAGCCACAGGCAGATGGATTTAAGGACGTAGATGCCTATTGAGCCTTCAGTTTGCCGCAGAACGCCAAACATGAACGGGTGGTAACGAGCTGCTTCCTAGTTGTTGGTGGGCCCTCGTTTGCCAGGAACTCGATAAACAGCTTCCTGCAGATGGATTAAAGGACGTAAATGCCTATTGTGCCCGAGTCAGATATATCTCCCAGCATGAAGACAACACTCACCAAGCCGATGCCAGATTTCCCGTGCTCTACCGCCATGTACAACGCAGGGGTGCTGAGTCATAGTTTGTGAGAAAACCGTCGTTGTTCCAGCACCGCACGCAACGCTTGACTAGCTTGGGGGAGAAGAGGCAATTGCGGGATATGGGCGTTGTACGCGAGTCCACGCACAAGCCGGCCTACGTGGGTGGAAGCCCTCCGTTTGGGCACATTCAGCATCTGGAAACGTCCGAATGGTATCAAGTCTTGACCGTTTAAACGTGGCAATCACGTCATTCTGTTCTGGCCCTCCATACTGACTGCATTTTGATGCCAGAAAAAAAGAGAGAAGACACCTCGGGTCGATCCCAAATCGTAGAAGATAAGACCGATAAGGGATGACCTTGGAGCGAAACGAAATAATTTTGGGACATGGGCGCTATGCGCGAGTTCACGCACAGGCCGGTCCGCGTGCAAGCGCTCCTTCAAGGTGCATTCACGATTTGGAAACGTCCGAGTCGTTGAAATCGATTTCTGGCTGTTCCGACGTTGCAGTCGTATCATTCGGAACGCGGCGAGATTAGCCTGATCATCCTAGAAAAAGCACATTTCAAGGTCATCTTTGCCAGTAAACGAGGGGCTTACATGCTTCCGGCAAGGTAAGAGACTTAAGTCCATCCAGTTTGAAGTTGTTTC